TGGCGGGGCGTGGCGGGGCGGGGGGTGCGGGCAAGGGCCTATCGCAGCGCGCCTCGGGAACAATGGGCCATTGGCTGGCTGGGAGGCGGGGAGGCCAGCCGGTGGAGAGGCCCGCGGAAGGGAAGGGGGAGACTACACTGGTCTACTTGCGAGCAGCGGGCAGCCAAGCGGGCCCAGCGGTCTCCGCACCTCTGGATGGGTATTCGCACTACTACACCAGCAAGGGGCGGATCCAGGTGGACGGGCGTTAAGGTGGCCTTACAATGCGTGTCCGCCCATGTCCGGCGTCCCAATATTGGCGTTTTTGTTGAGAAAAGTTCGCATGTGATGGTTTAAAAGGGTTAAGAATAGTAATTTACATCACATTCCTGTTACATTTGGTTCAAATAGTGCCAATAATCGGAGGACGGACATGGCCGGACACTCATTGTAAGGCCACCTTTAATCGGCAGAGGACCATTTCAGGTCTAGCGTCATCGACAAAAGCAGATTCCTCCCTACAACCAAGGGAACCTCTCTTTTCCGTGAATGGGAGCATAGTTCGAGTCCAGCTGTCTTTCAAGTATTTTTTTCCCTCTCATCTCGCTCGCTCTGACGCGTCCCAGTGTGACTCCTCGAGTCTGTCTGTCTGTCTGTCTGTCTGTCTGTCTGTCTGTCTGTCTGTCTGTCTCTCTCTCTCTCTCTCTCTCTCTCTCTCTCTCTCTCTCTCTCTCTCTCTCTCCTGTTGTAGTGGAATGTCTTCCCCGCCCCCTTCTCCATCGCCGCTTGCCAGTGCCGCGACGCTGGGAGGGGGAACAACGGCGTCCGCCCTCCGCCCCTCCGCCACGCCATTGGCTGCGTAGCGGGCGTCGCGGCGCTATTGTTACGCCCACGCACAGGCCGGGGAGGCGGGGCGGGGCACAGTGGGCCAGAAGACCGGTGGAGCGGCCAAAATTCTAGACGCGTTTTGAGCTCCAGAGTCGCTAAATGGGACTCGAACCGAACGTGTGACCCCACCAATGGATAGCTCTTGGAACGAGGAATCCATTGGTGGGGTCACGCGTTCGGTTGGTGTTCCATTTAGCGACTCTGGAGCCCAAAATGCGTCTAGAGTTTTGGCCGCTCCACCGGTCTTCTGGCCCACTGTGTGGGGTGGGGTGGGGCGGGGACCTTCCACCTGCCTGCACGGAGCACTCCTATTCTTTCGGACTCCTGACCATAGTGACCCACTCCTCCCTAGATGACTACCTTCCGACCGCAATTCCAAATTTAAAAAAAAATATGGGAAAAGATTTTCCATATTTTTCAGCAAGAAAAATGCCACGCAAAACCGCAGCGAAGAGAGAAAAACATGGGAAAAAATTGTTGTCTCTTTCCGCGGCCCCTCTGGCCGCCCTTTGGCTCGGTCCGCTTAAAACGTGTCAAAATATGAGAACGCGCGCGTCCATAATTTTATTTCCGTCGCGTTTTTCTTTTCTTTTTACGATTTTTCTCGCCTCTGTTGTGTGTGCAGCGCGCAGCGCGCGCCCAGAGCTTTGTATTATAATATACTGCACCGTGTTGGGCCCGGTGACAGTGTGGGGCCCGGGGAGGGGGAGTACGGACTAGAACATCTTGGACCGGTCCCAGCGGCACCCAGGGCAGACCCAGGCGCACGCAGTTAGACATATTGTTCTGAACAGTCCGTGCCGCCTCGCCCGCCACGGCACGCTGAATATGAAAATGATATGCTTTGACACCCAGCGGACGCAGCCGCCGCACCGGCCGGGGGTCCTAACTGCAGGCACTGCCTGGCTTATTAAGCTATTCTCATCCGTCGCGCCCCGGTACACCGCAAAAAAAAGGGGACCAAACCCACGACGACCATCCGACGATTAAAACATCGCCTGCGAATAACATGGCGTGCGAATAGCGTGGCGCCTCTGGACTGGCTCCAAGCGGGCAAAGGTTAAGCCGCCATGTGTTTAGCGCGTTTAGCGCCAACGACTCGCCTGTCACTCCGAGATGTATTGTTTATAGTTGCTGTCAGAACGCGAAAAATTAAGACAGCGCGAGCGAGTGTCGCGGGCAGGGCAGGGACTCTCGCGGGACCGCCGCGGGACCGGCTGACAATGTGCCAGGAAGGGGCCCCGCGCCTTCCTTCCCGCATTTTGTGACATTATTCGCAGGTGAAAGTGTTGCGGCTCGTAAAACGTTTCCCAAAAAAAAAAACCCTCAAGTGAGAACCATTTGTAAAAAACAAAATCAAATTTGTATTTTAGAATTTTAGGTTTTAGTTTTTGATACTCCGCCATTCTTTTTTTTTTTGCGAAAAAAACATTTTTTTTTTATTTTTTAAAATTTTGCTTTTTAAAACAAAAAATTTTGTTTTTTTTAAAAGACATTTTTCACCATTTTTCAAAAAAACTTTTTTTAAAATTTGTTTTCCCCCGTTTCTCTCGTCAAAAAAAACGGCCCCTTTAAATTTTTTTTTTTTTTTCCCGGAAAACCCCGGGCCCGGGGCTCGATAAGCCGCTCGGGCGCCAGGCTTGCCAGTGCCGGTGGCAGCTCTGCGCTGGTGGGCGTGGACAGGGGAAGGGGCAAAGGGTTTGGGCCCCATTGTCAGGGCGTGAGACAATGCGCCTGCTCGGCGCTCGGCTTGGCTCGGCCTGGCCCGGCTGCCCTGGCCGCCAGCCAATCACAGCGCTTTGTTTGCGCGACCTGCCCCGGCCGGCCCCCCCATTGGCTCGCACAACTATTGTGAGGCGCAAATAATAGCCTGCAGGCCCCAGGGGGGGCCCGGGGGGCACCGGGGGCCGCCGCGTCTTGGGGCTCACGAACAGTGGGCCGGACTACATCTATCTCACTGTTGTGTCAGCGAGCAGGGTCCTCGCGCCCCCGGGGGCGCCGCGCCCCGCCCGCCCCGCCCGCCCCGCCCGCCCCCCCCCCCGCCCGCCCCGCCCGCCCCCCCCCCCCCACCCCCCGCCCGCCCCGCCACCCCCCCCCCCGCCACGCCACACCTGTCCCTTGTTTCAGGGCGGGGGGTGGCCTGCACGACCAACAAAACGCTTTGGAACGCCTCGAAGCAGAGGAGGCTTACACTGTCTCGATTTATTGGGATGGGAAAAAAAATCAGATGCACAGAGGCACGCAGGCAGAGCCAGACACGCCGCGATGAGGTTTAAATTCTACCCATAAGGCACGCGCCGCACGCACTCACACCTCCCCAACCTTCCCCCCCCCCCCCTTTTTCTCCCTCTTTCCTCTCTCTCTCTCTCTCCTCTCTCTCTCTCTCTCTCTCTCTCTCTCTCTGGCTGAAAACTATAACCAGATGATAAAGGTGCCCCACCTGCAGCACGGTGCCCGAAGCGTGTACACTTTTCAAGGGGGGGGGGCGACTTTCGGGAGCAACTCATATCTTAATTTTTATAAAAAGGGTGTCTAAATGAGGATGCCGAAAAAAGACCTAGGGTGGGCATCGCAGTGCAGGGATAGTAGAAGACTGGTTTGAGTAAACGGGCGCCTCTCTCTCCCTCTCTGGCGGAAAGGGTTATAGACTGCAGCCTCGCACTCACACATGCACACACAGTCACACACACACACACAGAGCAGCGTGTGGTGCACTTTACCGGTGGGAGTTATTAATATTTAGAGGCTTTCTTCGGCTGCTCTATTTGTGTGTCATTGTAATGAGAGGGAAGAGCAGTCTCCCTTCCCTCTGTCTCTCTCTCTCTCTCTCTCTCTCTCCTCTCTCTCTCTCTCTCTCTCTCCCTCTCTCGGCACCCTCTCCGCGCGCGGTGTGCGCGCGTCTGGACAGAGAAAAGAGTAAGACAGCTACAAAAGTATAAAGGGCACCGAGCGAACGGGAGAAAAAGAGAAGAGTAATCAATCTTCCCGCGTCATCAGTGGCACGCACACACACACGCACGCACACACACACACACACACACACACAACACACACACACTTCGTAGCGGAAGCTGCACCCTGCCCGCAGAGGCCGGGGCGCAGCGCTTGGTTATTAATATTTCGGGCTTTGTTATGTGACTGCATTCTTGGCAGCCATTGTCGCGACCGGCAGCCATCGTCACTTCACGCACACACGCACGTGGAGAGAGAGAGAGAGAGAGAGAGAGAGAGAGAGAGAGAGGAGAGGAGAGGAGAGAGAGAGAAAAGAGAGAGAGGGGGGGGGGAGAGAGAGAGAGAGAGACCTCTACAATAACTTAATGACCTCAAGTCGCGCCTTATTCGCGGCATAGTCGCGACGACACACACACACAGACACACACACACACAGAGACAGCGCCGTGCCGCACACAGACAGATGGACAGAGATGTGCTCTCTGTGAATGCAGCACATTGTTTGTCTTTTGTATCTTTGTGCACGGGGGCCTAAGGGCCCGGCGGCCCCGCGCGCGTCGCTCCACTGTGCTCCGCTGTGCTGTGCCCCGCTCTGGCAGAGCACCTGAAAAGGCTCCGGTGTGGCTTTGTACACGGCGGGGCGGACGGGCGGCGCAGAGCGAAGCGCGCAACCCGAACGAGCCATTGCTCGAGCCGCGGCCACCGCGGAAACAGTCGGGGCACAGTGGGCCAGACGACCGGTGGAGGCGGACAAAACTCTAGACGCGTTTTGAGCTCCAGCGTCGCTAAATGGCACTCGAATCGAATGTGTGACCCCACCAATGGATTGCTCTCCGAACGAGGAATCCATTGGTGGGGTCACACGTTCGGTTCGAGTCCTGTTTAGCGACTCAGGAGCTCAAAACGCGTCTAGAGTTTTGTCCGCCTCCACCGGTCTTCTGGCCCACTGTGCGGGGCCCCGCGTCGCTCTGTCCCTCTCGCACCCACTCTGAACGCCCCACGAGTGCGAGAGCGACGGAATCCGTCTGCTGCTACAGTGTCGGGGCGATCGCGGACTTCACAGGCGGGCACACACACAGGCGCAGACGTCCTCACAGACACGCACTCACACACAGACGCGGTGCAGACGTCCTCACAGACGGCCACTCACACGGACGCTCGCACACAGACGCACGGGGCGCTTATCTGGACGCGCCGGCGAGCGAGTGCTTTCTGATTGCCAAACTACGGGACTTCGGCGCGGCCGGGCACGGCGAGACGCTCTGCTTCGCCTCGGCAGTGCGAGCTAGCAGTGTGCTCACCTGGAGCTGCCGCAGCATGGCCGCGAGCTGGCGTTCCCGCAGCTGCATCGAGGCCGCCGTCTCGTCGTTGGGTTCCTCGGGCGGACACCTGCAAGCAAGGTCGAGGGTTCAAACACCGCCCGTGCCGAGGGGGAAATCACTCTTAAAACCTGCGGCCCGACTATTACGTCTATTACGCTCTAATACACTGTGAAAATTTGAGTCGTCACTTGATGACAATTTCAAGGCTAATTTTCCTTACAAGGATGTCATCAAGTCACTTAATGAGACTGTTGTCACGCCCATGCTAAAAGTATAGGAGCTTTGATGAAAATGTCATCAATTTGTGACGAGATTGTCATCATTTCAAAGTGATGAAAATGTCATCCACGTTTTTGTCATAAAAAGACGACAAATTTTCACAGTGTGCGCCTCAAAATTATAGGAATTCAGCTGAAAACAGACCACAAACCATTAAAATAGATCAAATTTAGAGAATTTCTCTATTACGCTAATATTACGCACACTATTACGCGTGCTATTACAGACAGAATGACCCGACTATTACACGAGTTCGGCCTGTGCCGAACATTTTTTTTTCTTTCCTCAGACTGCAGGCAAACTGATGGCGAAAAATTAATTGGAACCCGGAATGTGCGTTTCGGATCTCCATCGGGAATTTCCGGAGTCTTTGATAAAAAAAAAAAAACACATTTTTAGTACTGTACCAACCGGCAATCCATTAAAAAATAGAAACATTTAGAGTTTCGGAATTTTCCAAAAGATCCTAGTCAAATTTTGGCCACGTTCTTCGGGACTTTTTGCTGAAGTTCTTAAGAGTCCGCTCAAAGCCTACAGTCTACACACCACTTTCAGCAAGTCATCAGTTGAAAACCATACACTTTTAGTCCACGCGTTTGTACACCACACATACCCGCACGCACACCCACGCACACATGGACACCCGTTAACGTTCATGAACCAGTTCACACGCACTCACACACACGCACACACACACACACCACGCTCGGGAGCACGTACATTGGACGCGGCCGGCGCCAGCACCATCGCCACTGCAACTGACTCATAACATTGTAGCGGCGGACCTCGCGGCGCGCAATTCGGACCGATAAGCACAATCGACCAATCCGCGTGCGTGTCTTGAATAAAAGGAGAGCGATCTCTCGGCGAGACGGGACGGGGCTCACCGCGACCCGACGGCGAGTCTCTCTCGTAAACGGTGGCGGCCGCGAGCGACTCCGACTCGAAAAAGGAACTTAGGACCGTTTCGACTCTACACACTCCACGCGTCTGTAGCTCTCACCGTTTGCCCAGAGATGGAGGCGGTCAAAGTCCTTGACGAAAATACGGAAAAACGGTTTATTCTGTGTCTCGTCGAACGCCAGACGAAAGTTACGTCAGGAGGTTTGTTCGCGTTGTCACGCCGTGCATCGGAAAAAGAAAGACTACAATAGGAAACGGCTTTCGGCGACCTTTAGAACAAAAGCGGCCACTACGCACTTCCACACTCACACACTCACACACAGGCTCACACTTAGGCACACACACACACACACACAACACACACACACACACACGCCGGCCGCCACGCGGCCTAATGACTGATTCATTCTTATCGATTCATCCCGCCAGCACGTGATCCGAGACCCAGCACGTGCCACAAAGCCACACCGCGGCGTCGGCGGTTTTTAAAATCATCGGAATTTGATGGTTCGACGTCACTAATTCCGTCTCAAGTTTTTTTTTTAATTTTTTTTTGACGCTGTTGGTGACTTACAGGTGGTCCTCAGGTGTGACGGCCTCCATGTCGTCCTTCATCATTTTAAAGGTGAGCTTCTTGAGCACGTGGTCCATGCTCCTCTTGCTGTGGATGTTGTTGTTGGTGATGGAGTTGTTGTTGTTGTTGAGGCCCGGCGCGCACTTGTCCACGGGCGTCGTCGGCGAGGAGGTGGCTCTGTCCTCGTCGTCTGGTACCGGGGAAATCATGGTTTTAGTTGAACGTGTATACGAAACGCCAAGAATCACTCACAAAAAATATAACTGACTGAGAAAATTTTAAAAAATTCGAAACAACAATTTTTTTATTTTTTTTTTTAAAATTGTGACAGCACTTTGTGTTTACCTCCGGATCGCTTCCTCTTGGCGGGGATCTCATGGTGGTCTAGCTCGACGCCCTGCAAGCACACAAGCCAAGCGGTCATCACCTCGGAACACGGTAAGTACACCAGAAAGTACAGAGCGAGACGGCAGTTCCGATAATTCCTTTTGAGAATGCACCGATCAATTACAGAGGCGAATAAATCGATTCGCGGGAAACCAACGGGAAACCAAACAAAAGCAAACAGAGAAAAAATGCCGGGTGAAGCACTTTCTCCTCTTTTATCGATACCCTCCGCGTTATCGGGGGGTCCACGACGTGCTACTACGTCGTTTCAAAGCCGTTTTACGTTGGCTTCTTTTAATTTAATTTTTAAAAATTTGTAGTAAGATGGCAAGCCGGTTTTTTTTTTAAATACCTTGGCGAAAAGGGCGTTGACGGCGTTGACGCTGGCCTCACACAGCGGAACCAACTCCACCAACTCCTGCAGCTTGGTGGGCGGTGACTTCCGCTTCGAGGCCATTTCGATCTGAAACAAAAGTCTTTCATCAGCGCACGCCGCGCACGCGCCCCGCCCGGCTGGCTGGCCCCGCCACCGGCCTCAGAGCAGCCTCCGAAGAAGGGAAGGGGGATTTGGGCCAAATTTGCCAGCGCAGCCAAAGTCTACCAGAGGCTCTAGGCCAACGCGTGGCGTGACAAAAAGGCACCTCGGCCGCCCCGGCCACGCCGCGGGGTCGTGGCGTTCTCGCAACACGCCCACCGCCACGAGGTTTTGTTTCAATTCCCACCATTTTCTTTCATCATCATCATCATCATCATCATCATCATCATCATCATCATCATCATCATCATCATCACCATCATAACCATCATACACCACTCATCACACACTCATCATCACATCATCATCATCATCATCATCATCATCATCATCCATCATCATCATCATCATCATCACCATCATCACCATCATAACCATCATCACCATCATAACCATCATAACCACCATCATCATCATCATCATCATCATCATCATCATCATCATCATCATCATCATCATCATCATCACCTTCTTCATCACCTTCTTCTTCATCTTCTTCTTCGTCCGTCTTTGCAGCCCTGCTCGAGCAGCTTGTGCGCTACAAGCGCAGCAGCAGCTCTGTCAAGTATTTATTCCGTTAGACGTCAAAGCAGAAAGGAGCTTCCCAATTAAGACAGGCGTGTGTGTGTGTGTCTATGTGTGTATGCATGTACGTGAGCGCGTGTGTCAGTGTGTGTGTGTGTGTTGTGTGTGTGTGTGTGTGTTTGTGCACAAGGAATCGCTGAACACACGCGGGCGACAACGGGGTAGCTTGCGTGGCGGGTCTCTCTCTCTCTCTCTCTCTCTCTCTCTCTCTCTCTCTCTCTCTCTCTCTCTCTCTCTCTCTCTCTCTCTCTCTCTCGCTCTGTCACCAACTCACACATGCACAAAATACCTTTCCAGCAGCGCGTCTCCTAATTTCCGCGAGCAAATCGAGTTAGTCTTGAAGACCCCTTGCGCCGCGCCTAGAGGCCGGCGTGGAGGCCGGCGGGCCAGCGCCCTCTAACGGTGTATTTCCTCCCCGAGCGGAAATTAGAAACGCCCGCCTGCAGGACCTTGCAAGTTAACTGTCGCAAACAGGCTTAATTGGTGCTGCCTGCTAGCCTTGCGCCTTTCCCTGGGCTGTAGTCGCTCCGTCTCTCTCGCACGCCCGCGGGCCGCGCCGCGAGTGCGACAGAGACGGAGCGACGTTTCGGATTCGGTCCGCAGGACCTAAGAAAGGGTAGTCGGGCCCAGGACTTACAAGGGAAGGTCCACATCCTCAATCCGTCCCGGTCCGTCCCGGTCCGTCCCGGTGGAGGCGGCGGCGCGAGGGGACTGGCTGTACAGTCACGCAAAGATTAAATGCCCCATTAATTTTTGGAGGGCAGGTCTAGGCAGGGCTAGGGCTTTAGGTAGGGGGCGCCCTTCCAAACAGGCGTGTCCTCACGCGTGGATAATTTTGAGACGTCCCCGCCGAGACGACTTCCACTGACGTGAGGCTACACCTGGGGAACAATGACGGCCTTCAAAGCGGCTTAGGTTCCATGAATCTAGAATTTTTTTTCTTTTTTTAGTTTCTCAAGTGGCGAAAATGGCGCGAAAAGGCGACGGGGCACGCGCGGCCGGAGTGTGGCCATGGTGTGGCGCATGTGACACGCATTTCACGCACGACGCGATAAGCGTATTGTGTCTGCCGCGGACCGAACGGCCCGACCGCGCTCGACCCCGACCCCGGCACCCCGCCCAGACGGCGGGCCCACTGGCCGGGCCCGCAGACCGACTCCGAGAGTCGTTTTCGTCGCTCTGTCTCTCTCGCACCAATACAAAACGCCCCGCGAGTGCGAGAGAGACAGAGCGACGAAAACGACTCTCGGAATCAGCCTGCAGGCCGAAGAAGACCCAGCCGGGGCCGGCCCGCCGAACCGCGCCGCGGCAGAGGGACTCCGAGTATCGCTTGTCGTTGTCTCTCTCGCACCTTTACAGGACGCCCTATCACTCTAGATCACCCTATCACTCTAGAAAATTCCCACCCCTCACTGGCGGTAACTTCGCACTGGCGGTGTCTAGATTTTACCGCCAACAGATAGGTGTAGGGTTGGACAGTCTACCACCAATAAGATTTGAAGTGACGACTGCGAGAGAGACAGAGCGACCAAGGCGACCCTCGGAATCAGTCGGCGGGCCACACGCCCGCTCGGCATGGCCGGCCGGCCCGGCCACGAGTGAGGAGTGAGCAGACCACCGGCAGGCCGGGCCGCCCAGACACAATGCGGCGCGAGCGAGCGACTCGGTTTGGACTTCGGACCGACCGGGTCCGCGGTGTGCCGTGGTGGACCCGGCGGTCCTAAGCGCCGAGTCGCCGTGTCGTCGCGGACAACGGTCGACTTTTCGATACATCGATCTCGAAAATCGACTCTCGACGCGACAGTGCTGCCGCCTGGGACTGGGCGACCGGCGGGGCGGTCAAAATTCGGGCGCGTTTGGGGAGCTCCAGTAAACGCGATTGGGACTCGAACCGAACGTGCGACCCCACGCAATGGATTCCTTCCGAAGAAAATTCTTTGGAGTTCAATTCGTTTCGACCTCGCTCGACTCGGGCGCCCAACGCCGCCAGACCGCCTCCACGCACGGGCTGCGGCCCCCTTGATGGAAGGACACGAGGCGGGATAATGGTCATCAGAATAGGATTGTGGCTCGTCTCCGGCGCGAGCCCCCCCCTGTAGCGCGAGGCCGCCGCTGCGGCGGAGAGACGCCGAAGCGCACGCAATGGATTCCAAGTTGCCCCAGGAAAACGTTTAGGAAGTTCAATTGTTGTGACCTCCGCCTCGCCGGCGCGAGCTCGCCTCTCCTCCGAGTGTCTCAGACTGAGAGCCGTTTTCGTCGCTCCGTCTCTCTCGCACTCACGGGGCGCGCCGTGCAGGTGCGAGAGAGACGGAGCGAGCAGGGAAGAAACGCGTCGAAAATCGAGGTGAAGATTGCCAGTGGCGGGGCGGCCCGCGCCGTGGCCCCGCCGTGGCCCCGCCCGGCGCTGAGAGATACAGATCAACACGCAAAGGGATCGCCCAGAAGGCTATTCCTGGCGCGGCCGCCGTTTTAAATTTTAGGGTTATTGTAACGCCGCCCATAAAAATATGACAGGTGAAGGCAAGGCGGGGTGCGAGCGACGGCGAGCAGCGCCGAGGGACGCGTGGGTGGCTGCCTCCCTGTGGCTTGTGTTGTTGGGTCCTCGGGACGACACACGAAAAAAAAAATACTTTGCTGTGGTGATTCACTTGTTTCGATAGGCTAAAGTCGAGGGGTGACCGACTGTAAAATTTTGTGTACAATGATTGTGTGAATGTGCAAGAATGTGCAAGATTTCTGGTGTTTTTGCCACACATGTTGCCTACTTACAGGCGTTTTTGGCTCCTGAATGTGGAATGTGGTCAAATTTTGTACAATGAATGTGGGAAGCTGTTCCCCCCTCGGCTAAAGTCGATAGCTTCGATCGAAAAGTCGACACTTGTAAACCGGAAGGCGGTTGCTACGACCGGAGGCACGTCAGTGGTCAAATGGGGCTTTGCCAGCGGCTGGTAGCGTAACACCTTGCAAGAAAGAGTGTCCCATTTTTATTTATTTTTTGCACTTTTATTCTTTGGCGTGTCGTGTCGCGGCTGCTGAAAGTCGGGTGCTGACTCATTTACGGCTCCCGAGGCAGCGGACACGACAAAGCGGTTCGGAACAGCGGCGCGAAAACACATCATTTCAGTGGGTACACCGCTAGAAACCAAAAACCGCGGCGCTGAATAAACAATTCTGCAAATTTAACCCCCAGGACTAGATTGCGCCGAAACCGGCTGAAACCCAAAGTGTTTTCTCAGTACACACTTGTAAGTGGGGTGCATTCAGCACTGAAAAACCAAGCGTGGTCTAGACCGCACCACTGGTGTGGTCAAATGGGTGCCATTTTGACTGCATCAGTTGGTGCTGTCTAGACCACATTTAGCCACGTTTGGTGCGGTCTAGACCACGTTTGGTGTGGTCTTCCCATGCAATGACCCCACCAAACGTGGTCTAGACCGCATCAACTGATGCGGTCAAAATGGCACCCATTTGACTACACCAGCTGTTGCGGTCTAGACCACGTTTGGTTTTTCAGTGAGGTCACACTTGCTCTATAGTAACAAACTCAAGTTTTCGAGGGTGGTTTCCTTGTTCCGAAAATACTCGGTAGAATGTGAACTTGGGCTTTAAGGTCGCACCTCCACCCTGTGTAGTGGGTGTGGGTGGGTAGGGTACAGCCTATCTGCCCCGTGAGTTCTCGCAAGGCACCGCCGCTTCGGCGCGGAGCGTTGCGAGTCCAAAGGCGCTGAAATATTGACTTCCGGGAGAGGCATCTGTAGGCAAAGATAGATATCCGCACACAGACACCGCGTCCGCGGCGCGCGCCATCTCCAGGGGCGAGAAGAATGCGGGGTGGAGGGGGGAGGGGGTTAAGCGGGGCTCAAAAGCTTTATTCGAGCAAATGGCGGGGGGCGGCGGGGGCGGCAGCAAGGGCGGGTGGCACAAGAAAAGGGTCCGCGCCATACAGAACGCGAATGAAAGGAATAAAATACAGACTTGGCGCGCAGTGGCGGCGGCGGCAGCGCGAGCGGCGATACAAAAGAAAACAAATTAGCTTTCGCCATTACGGGGCGAGGAACGGCGGAACGCACAGTAGACTGAGTCGCTCCGTCTCTCTCGCACTCACGGGGCGTCCCGCATGGGTGCGAGAGAGACACAGCGGCGCGGGGCGGACGGACGGGGCGCGGAGTTGTTCCGCGGAGCGTCTTGTGCGCCTCGCCTCCGGGACTGAGACTTGGTGTGCCGCGGAGAGCCATCCGGAACTTGGCACGCGACTCTGGACGCCCCGCCCCGCCCTCGCCGCTACAGTGTGAAGCAAAGATTGCTATGGCGACGCGACGCGGTCCTGCCGGAAACGATTGTTT